TAATGCCAGTGTGAGCTCGCTGCTGATGCTCTGGTCTCTAGGACAGGCCTTCACTCTAATGCCAGTGTGAGCTCGCTGCTGCACAGACCTGGCCATGTCACCCCTCAGCTGACCATCCCTGGAGGTGGGGGACACCACCATGACCACACAGGCCAGTGATGAGTGGGGGTGAGGCTGGGGAGCTAGAGGCCCCTTCTGCAGAGGGCACCTCCTCTGTGTCCCTGGCTGCCGTCCATAGAGTGCCATTTTGTCTGGGCTCCCGGCTGTTACCTGCACATTCTGCAGTCCCATCGTGTTCCTGTCGCTTTTCTGCGTTCCCAGTGCTGTGCCTTTGGCCCTGACTGCACCTGTCACCACCCTGCCCACCATAGTACACAGCACACTTCACCCAACTTTGCTCTTCTGCTTCCCCAGGCAAAGCCAGACGCTGGTTCCCACCCCCACCCAGGGCTGAAGTGCCCGCAGCAGCCCTGTGGCCCTTGTAACATGATGGCCAGCTCCAGCTCACGCCCCTCCCTGAGGTCCTGGGCAGCCCATGCCTTTTTGCTCAGTGAGTGGTCATGGAATGGTGCAGAAGAGAGCACAGAGGCACAAGCAGGGACAGAAATAGCAGCGATGCGAACAACAGCCTTTTGCATCCTCACAGTGGTCTCGGCCCCGGCTGGCGCTGTCGTCGTTTTAGGGGTAAGGAAACGGAGGCCCTGGGAGGAGGGCTAACTTGTCCGAATTCCCATAGCTGCTGTGTGGCCCCAAAGCCTCTGCTTGGAGCATTCTGCAGAAAGTGGAGACGGGGCCTGGCTGTGCTGGGGTGGGGGCCTGGCGAGGGCCAGAGGGGTGGCCTGAATGCCAGGGCCCAGGAGATCGGCTGGCGAGGAAGCCTTCGAGAGCTGCCGCTGGCTGAGCAGATGTGCAACGCTGCAAGTTAGCACAGAGGAGGGCTGTTCTGGCTGGGAGACAGGGCGGGGTGGCCAGAGCCAGGGAGGATATCCGGATGGATTTCAGAAGCACACTAGGAGGCTTGGAGGGACTTCGAGGTGACTTATTGTAAGCTGGGGAAGGAGAAAGAGGCCTCGGGACATCTGGTGCTTCTGACTTGGGGGATTTGGTGGAGGAGGCCCCCTACTAGACATTGGGAAGCAGGAGAGATCAGTCCTGCTGGGGTGGCAAGAGGAAGGGAGGGGCCAGCTGTGAGGGGGCCACTGTCTTCCTGATGGGGGTATCTGACAGCAGCCGGAGCTGAGATTGGTAGCTGGGTCCCCGGTACAGCAAGGGCAGTAGGGAAGCCACAGAGGGGTGGGGTTTGCCTGGCAGGGGTGGGGTTTGTGGGTCACGCAGGTCCCAAGTAGCCCAAGCTCAAGGCCCACGCCTGCCTGCTCTCCCCACTCATTCTTGCCTGTGGGAACTCTGTCCTTTTTTCCTGAAAAAGTTTAAGCCCATGACCTTCCTCCTTAGTGAAGCCTTTCCTGCCTGAACTGAGTCTGCAAGGGGCAACCCTGAGTCCCCTCTGTGCCAGCTGTCTTCTCCCTGCCCTTGCCCCATCCTTTCTGGGCACGGGCCTCAGCTCCCTCGCACTCCTAAGCTCCCCTTTCTGCATCCCCACAGAGGCCTTCTTTAGCTGTGAGCCTGACACAGGGCTCCCCTGGTTCCTACTGCCAAGAACCTGTGCTTTGCCACCAACTCCTTCCCACTCCCCAAGGGAAGCAGGTGGGAAGCACCCTCCTTTCTCCTTCTGTAAACCTGGGTTGGCAGACCTTTTCTGGAAAGGACCAGATGGCAAATACTTTTGGTATCACAGGCCACACTGTCTCTGTTGCAGCTCCTCAAAGTGAGAAGCAGTTCCAGACAATATGTAAAGGAACAAGTGTGACTGTTTCAATAAAACTTTATTTAGAAAAACAAGGGGTGGGCCAGCTTTGGCCCACAGGTTGTAGTTTAATGGCTCTGCTCTAAACCATTCCTCATCCTCCTGCTGGATAACAACTAAACTTTTCAGAACCAACAGGGCTGGGGGTGGGAAGCAGCGGGTGGAGGTGGGGTGTTGGCTATGGAAGGCAGAGGGGAGGCCGCCACAGGGATGGAGAGCTGTCTGCCTAGTCCCTCTTCTCTTTTCTGGGAGAACCAGGGATGGTGCCCCCTCCAGGCTTAGTCGTCCACGATGCAGAGCCCCGTTAGTTCCACATCAGGCCCCCGCTTGCCTGTGAACTGGAAATCAGTTTCTCCCCCTCCGTGGTTCCTGCCCGATTCCCTTCACATCAGTTCAACAAAGCATGAGACAGGAGGTCCCTGTCCTCTTCCTGCCCTGGAAAATCAGTCTTCGGTTACTGCAGCGGGCTTGAGAGACTTGACTGAACTCCACAGTTTAGTTCTCAGGTGGGGAGTGTCCCTGCGTGCGGTTGCTGGCGGTTCCAAGGGAACTGCCTCTGGCCCCTGTCCCCAGGTGTGGAGTGGAGGTCAAGGCCTGGGGTCCCTCCTTTCCTGAATCTTTGAGCCCCAAACCTGGTGACCCCACAAGCTCCTCGCATTTCTTCACCTTACCTCGGTTTTACATCAAATGTGCGTAGCCCCTGTTCATTCTTCTCTCTGGGATTCAAGTCCAGGTCTGGGTGACCGGGGCCTCTCAGAGGCCTGCCTGCTGGGGTTCCACAGCTCTGTCCCCCAAGAGCAGAGAACAAGATGGGCGGTGGGGGGATAAAGCGTTCTGGGCAAGAGACAGGCTCAGCAGGCCGGGGGGGTCTGCTGAAGGGGGGCCCTGGAGCAGTGCAGGATCACTCGAGGCCCCCGGGGATGGGGAGGAGGCTTGCCACCAGTGGGAGCTGCAAGGTGGGGAGGCGACAGGCCCCTTTTCAGCCCTTCTCAGTCTGTCTGTCTGCGGTGTCTCCACCCCCTCACTCTGTGACCAAGCCTGGAAGGGGTGGGCTCTGGGCCAAGCCCTGCTCTTGGCACAAGCCCTCCACTCCACTCGGAGGTGCACGTTAGTACTGTGTTTAAAAGTAGGCTGAGAAGTCCGAGCAAAGTTGGGAAGCTTTGTTTTCAGACATAATGGGATGGGTGTGTGGAAACAGAGCTGCAGAACGAAGGCAGACTGATGCTGTTGTTTGTGATATCAGTACAGAGGAGGGCACAAGAGATATGAGGGGGCATGGGGGGCCAGGGCGTTCGGGTTTTAAAAGGCGTGTGCAGGAGCCGGTTCACGCGTCTACACTGGCTCTGCCGTGAGGGTGGCTTCTGCCGCACAGCTCCGTGGGCCTGGGCTTCGCCCCCGCAGAGCGGGGAGGCCAGGAATGGTCCTGCTCACATCTGTTTTCCGGCCCTGGAGACTGGGCGTGGTGGGGAGAGGGTGCTGTGTTGGAGTGCCTGGGGCAGCAGAGGAGGATGGAACAGGTTCTGAACCACTGCGGTGACCTGCTTCTCAGGGGAGTCGCCACGGTGGCTGGCCCTGGCATGTCAGTCCTTTACCTACATTTGCCACTCCACTGGGGCCCACACAACTCCTCCAGTGGGCCTTATTTATTATCTTCAATTCATAGGCAAAGAAATAGAGACACAGAAAAGTAAGTCGCCCAGAGCCACAGAGGCAGTGCAAAGTGAAGCCGGTTGGTGTCTGTCTCAGCGCTGGGCACCGGCCGGGAGACCACACAGCCCAGGGGGACCCCTGCCTCCGCTAGTCTGTGATCAGGACCAGAAGCCATTCCCACAGCCTTTATTGATCCCATAAGAAAGAGGCGTTCGTGTTTCAGAACAATGTGACTGCTTCCGACCAGGTCCGTGGAATTCGAACCCAACGGGACGTTTAGCCGTTTCCCGCACTTACCTGCCCTGTCATTTACAGTGTCCTTAGAGCCCCTGGCCGGTCAAAACTCCTCTGTCTGATGCTGCAGCTCCGATCGAGGACCTCAGTTTTCCCTTTGCGAGCTTTTGCTTGGCTGCAGGATTAGTGGGCGGTGGAGGTTTTTGGTGGGACTTTGTGGGCCAACATCAGACGTGACCAAATGTGGCAGAAAGGGAGGGGTGTGTCAGGGAGGTGCCCTAGAATCTCATCTTTTCTGTTTCGGGGCAATGGTGGCTGCTCCACAAGGGCTCTGTGCTAGAACCCACCAGGCCTGGGCCCCTTTGGGGCAGTAGTCATTCACTCCAGGTAAGTAAAGGAGAAGGGTTAGGCTTTGGGGCAAATAGGGAATGAATGAGCTTCTGTTCTCTAACCTGACCACATGAGTTGGAGGCTTTGCTCCCGTAAACACATTTTGTGCAGGTAGACGCCTGTCTGCTCACCATGCTCGCATGGGAGCGATGCCCTTCTCATGCCCTGGCATCGCTGGATCTTTGCTGCTCGAAGGACACTGCAACTTTGAAGCGGCTCCGGAGTTGCTTCCAGCAGGGATGAAACGAGCCATCAGCAGAGCCTGCACCTTTCCCAGAGCTTGGCAACGCTCCTGGGAAGGCAGGTCACCATTGAGCAACACCCAGACAGAGGCTAGCATTCATTTCCAGATGCCTGTGGGGCTCAATTGTTTTCTTCCTCTCTCCCCACCCCTCTCTCCCCATAGTTACAGATTTTGCAAGATCTGTACAACACGTGTGTGTGGATTTGCCTCTCCTAAGTCATTCCGATCTATCGGCCCAGTGTTTCTTTTGCTCTCTCCAATGCTGATGGTTTTCAACAGCTGTGTATAAGAAAGCTGCTGGCCTAGAGCAACAGGCCATCAATAGCACTCACACGGCCTCCCCTGTGGCCCGACAAGCATCTATGCTTACTTGACGCAGGCAGGATGGCCAGCATAGCCTTCACAAACAGGCTGGGAAAGTTTGGGGCTTTTTTTTTGACAGAAGATAATATCCTTGTTTGCGATAAATGGAAGGTTGGGAAACTTAGGTTGCCTATTGGGAAAGCCAATTCCTAGAACCAGAGTCAAGGGAAAAATATCCTCTAGATACATAGATCTTCATAAGGTCTTCTTCTTCTTCTTTTTTTAATTTTTAAAAGAGTTTAAAAATAGAGCCAGGATTTCACTCTGTTACCCTGGCTGGAGTGCACTGGTGTGATGGTAGCTCACTGCAGCCTTGAACTCCTGGGCCCCAAGAATCCTCAGCCTTCCAAGTAACAGGGACTATACAGGCTTGTTCCAGCATGCCCAGCTAATTTTTATTTTTATTTTTGGTAGAGATGGGGGTCTCACTATGTTGCCCAGGGTGTTCTCGAACTCCTGGCTTCAAGCAATCCTCCCACTTGGCCTCCCAAGGTGTTGGGATTATAGGCATGAACCACCGTGCCCGGCCACAGAAGGCCTTCTTTATACAGCGTTCTTTCTGAGCTGTGTTGGCTGTGATGGACTGGCAGGACCCCCTCCATCTACCTGGGGGCTGAAGGTGGGTTAATGCCCAGCAGTGACTGTGAACTCGTCGTGGGACGTCTGGAATGCCAGTGTTGGGGTTTCATGCATTTGAATCATGGAAGGCGTTTTGCTGTAAATACTGTACATCTAAGGCGCTGAGCAATGGCAACCTCGAGCTGGGGGCCTTCCTGGGGCAGGGATGCATGGCAAGTGCTCTGTGTCACACGTTGGATGCACAGGGCGGGTCAAGGAGGAGGATATAGTCAACATCTTCAGAGTTTTTGCAAAAGATTTGCTGCGAGGACCCAGGCGTAAGGGGGAAGTTCGTTTCCTATCACTTCTGGGGGTGGCTGCGGCAACTGCTCATGAACTCACACTACTGGAATCTTCTCTTGTTCATTTGAGCCCTTACCTGGTGGAAGAAATGACTGTGCTTCCATCAAAATCGCTTTCCTTTTCCTCCTGGACACCCAGTGATAGGACTTTTTCTAACCTCTTGCCCAATGTGGCCATGACACCCAGGCCTGCCCAGTGAAACGTGGGCAGAAGCATTTGCTGCCTCTGGGCCTGCCTGGACAGCTTCTCCCACAGTTCCCCACATGCTCACTCCTCCCCAGGGCATGGCGTGGACAGCAGGGAGAAGGAGCCTGGGTCCCTGAATGACTGTGTGGAAGGCTGCCACTGCCCCTCGACCTTGGCATTGGACTTTGAACGAGAAACAAACTGTCACTGGGTTAAGCCCCTGAGGCTTGGGCGTTTGTTTGTTACAGCAGCTAGCCTTGCGTGACCTAACTAACGCAGACCCAGCGGCCCTCCCATGTGTTCTGCTGTGCCTGTGCCTCTTGCTTTTCTGTGTTGCTCAGTGTCATCTGTGTGAGACTCAGCTCCTCCACCTGAGCATGTCTCATCTCCAGCTGCCTTCCTCTCGTCCTTTTCTTCTGTCTTAGAGGATAAAGTGTCTTCTCCCTTCAAATCTAAATTTATCTGCCTGTGACTGGGTGTGGGGGATAATGCCTGTAATCCCAGTGCTTAGGGAGGCTGAGGAGGGAGGATCCTTGAACCAAGAATTCGAGACCAGGCTGGGCAACATAGTGAGACCCCCATCTCTACAAAAAAAATATAAAATTTAGCCAGGTGTGGTGATACGCACTCATGGTCCCAGCTACTCAGGAGGCTGAGACGGGAGGATCTCTTGAGACCAGGAGGTCGAGGCTGCAGTGAGCTATGATCATGCCACTGCATTCCAGCCTGGATCACACACACACACACACACACACACACACACACACACACACACACAGAGAGAGAGAGAGAGAGAGAGAGAGAGAGAGACAGAGACAGAGAGAGAGAGACAGAGAGAGAGAGAGAGAGACCCTGTCTCTAAAAAAAAGCAAACAAACCCATATCCGCTTGTGCCCTTGGTTCTGCCCCCCACCCCCACCCGCTGTTCCTTGCCAACTCTGCCTTGTGCACACTTTTTCTCTGGGACAGTTTAAATCTTTATCTCCCTGGCTCCCTTTCTTCTTGTCTGCAAATATGTCCCAACAGCCCCTATCTTAAAAAACCCTCAGCCTCGTTACTCATGTATCCACTTCTCTTCAATGTCAGACTTTTTAAAAAGCATCTCAGTTGCTGCTTCCTCCCTCCTCCTCCTCCTCTGTTGGAACTGGCCTTGGCTCCACTGCCTTGGACTTGGCTTGGTGAGCAGCCCTGAGCCACCTCGGTCACGGCAGCCCCAGCATCTGCAGTTCCCACGCCTCGGCCTTTTGGCCAGGCCAAGCCGAGCTGGACTGTGTCACGCTGCCCTTTCCCGGGTCTCCGAGGAGCTCTTCCCTTTCCAGCATGGGCCGGCCTGCACGGCCAGGCAGAGGGAAACGTATTCCCCGGGCTGCCGCCTGGGCCTCCCCTCCTGCTCCACAGCCTCTCCTTCCAGAGTGTGTATTTGGGACTCTTGTGGCTTCATCTGCCATCTTCACGCCAGACAACAGCAACACCGACTTGTCCTCTGGGTCTGTTTCTTGTGGCCCGGTCCCCACAGCCTGCTACATTTTGGGGTTCCAGGGAGGGCAGGGATAAGCCAGCCAGCTGCCAGTGGCTGTTAGTTCTATCTCCGTGAGGTCTCCCCAGCCCATCTCCGCATGGGTACAGAGTCTCTGTTGTGGGGCAAGCCCTCCTCATCTCTGCTCAATTAAGGCTTCTGAGCAGCTGGCCAGCTGCCTCCCTGCTCCTTACCTTCCTCCACCCCAACTCTCTTGACGGCCTGGGTGCTGAGTGCGTGCGGGGGCACCGCATTCCTGGACGTAGTGTCTAGGGAGGGCAAGGCGTGGCTGTGGGCTTGGGCGGACCAGGACTCCTATCCTGGCCCTGCCACCCAGGAGCTGTTGACTTTGGCAATTACTGGACCTTCTGGAGGCTCAGGGATCACTTGTAAAATGCAATATTGCCAACTTTACTGGGGCAGTGGAAATCACAAACGGGAAGTCCATCAGCCCCAGGGACACACAGCAGGTGTCCAGTGCCCGGTGGCTCTCCCCCTCCCTCCTCCTGTGGAGCTCTTGGGACCCGCTGGAGGGAAGCCTGGTGTGATAAGTCCAGGGCTTGTGGCCACAAGGCATGCAGGAAGCCGCTGCGGCTTGACCAGTCCTTTAGGTGAGCCGTGGTTTCTTGCTTTAGAGCCTTGCGAATCTGATGAAAAACCCCAAGATACTAAACCGTGTTTTTATCGCTCCTTGCGAATCTGATGAAAAACCCCAAGATACTAAACCGTGTTTTTATCGCTCATGTTGAAGCTCTTTTATTTCAGAGGTTTATAAACACTGAGCTCTTCTTCCAGACCTTGAGTTTTACTCCCTGGGAGAAAATTAGGCCACTGGAAAGTCTTCATCCACTGTAGAGGCAGAGGCTGCAAAAGCCTCGATGAGGGAGACCCGCTCCCCAGAAGTGACCCCTAAGTCGCCCACTGGGCTGGGTCAGGGTGATGTTGCCTTATGACGAGGGAAAATGCCACACAGCTTCTAGGTCTTCTGCCAGGAAACAAGATTGCACAGCTAACCTGAGGGCTGGAAGGAGGGCCCTCAGGTGTCTCTGGAGGCCCAGTTGCTATCTGCCGCAGTGTGGACAGGATGAGGAGTCAGACCCCTGTGTTTCCAATGCACTTCCAGTGCTTCATAAGAGCCTGAAACTCCTGGGCCAGGTCCACTGGGAAGAGAAAAAAGGTAACAAAAACGAGAAATGGTTGAGGTACTCTCAGATGAAGAGCATCCCTAGGTTTGCAGAAAGTCCTGTACCTGCCCGAGGGCCTTCACCTGCCTGGTCGCCAGCTGACCAACAGCTTCCTCTGACCGGCTATCAAGGACGGTCTGGCCCTGGGTGCTATTCTGGGTGTTGTCAGTCACCTGCTGGGGTGGCCCAGCGCAGCTTGGCCACTGGATGCCACAGAATCTCCAGTTTGAGCATGGGCCATCGTGGCTGCTGCTGGGGATCTCATGGCGTGCCCTGCTGTGTCAGCCTCACAGCAGCTGTTGTGCAGGCAGAAGGGTGGGGGCAGGCCGCCTGAGGCCTGGGAGGGCCCAGTGTTGGCTGCTCTGCCAGGGCCAGGCCCCTCATACTGAATGCCTTGGCTTGTAATCCCACCCATCTTTCCAGGAAGATATGATTGATGTTAGTCCTTGCGTTATCAGGCCTGGAGGACAGCCCTGAGACACCCCTTGTTCCCCCCCACTTTGGATTTCTATGAAGAGCTTAGAAAGACAAAAAACCAAAAACCCATGGATGAAAAGTCGAGTGGCCGTCGATCAGGCAATGTTGACTCCTCATTTGGTTGTTATCCATTCTTGATGCAGCATAAATTTCCCCTGCATCTAAACCCAACTTCTTGAAGACTATGGCTTATGGAGATCTGCTATCTCTCTCATGCCAGGCTCAGAGCCTGTCCTGGTGACTGGCGGCCAAGCACCTTGATGGCCGAGCACAAGTCGGGTGAGGAGGGCTTACTGAAGATGGAAGCGTGTGGGTGGGACAAGTACAGGCAGCAGTGGAGATGAATTCACTTGGGATGGATCCCAAGGTTGTCTTCACCTGGAGCAGTCACAGGCTTCAACAAATCTTTAAGTGTGGTGCCACCAGTAGCCAAGTTCAGGCCACTCCACACCCAGCCACTCTCTCTGTTCAGGCCAAGGGAGCTGCCACTGTGGGAACTCGCCGGCATCGTGGGAAACAGGTGCTCATCGTCCATTCTTGCTGTGAAACGCTCAGCAGCAGCCCAGAGGAGACATTAGCACTTAATGCTTTATTTATATGAGCTCTTTTGAGAAATTTTTTTTTTTTGAGATGGAGTTTCACTCTTGTCGCCCAGACTGGGGTGCAGTAGAGCAATCTTGCTTCACTGCAGCCTCCGCATCCCAGGTTTAAGCAATTCTCCTGCTTCAAACTCCCTGGGAGCTGGGATTACAGGCATGCGCCATCAGGCCTGGCTAATTTTTTTTGTATTTTTAGTAGAGATGGGGTTTCACTATTTTGGCCAGGCTGATTTTGAACTCCTGACCTCACATGATCCACCTGCCTTGGCCTCCCAAAGTGCTGGGATTACAGGCGTGAGCCACCGTGCCCAGCCGAGAAACATTTTACCAACAGGTGCATTGTGGGAATGGGTGTGGTTACTGTCACATCGGTAACAAGTCTG